AACAGAATTTAATGGAAAGCAAACACGCAAAATTGATACAGAATATGCAGCAAAATAACAGAATTGAACAAACCAAATAAAGTGGAATGACTTTTATCCAGATTAAAAAGCCATAGTATAAGTTGGTTCAGCCCAACTGCGGTAAAGAAGCATCATCAATGCAACAATAACAACATGAGGCACCCATGTTATTATAGACAGATGGATGGAGTTGCGATATGGTCGCTCATAAAGTCACTGCTTGCTGCTATTTTCTTTGCCGAACTTGAAGGCGGGCCTCTCCGACAAATTAGTGTGTCATTAGATTCCTACTGGAAGTACGTAGATGATACCTTTAGAATTTGTGATTCAAACGTCGACGTAGCCCATCTGTTAGATCGGTTTAGTAGTTCGCACCTTTCTGAAGTTTACATGCGAAATTGAAAGCGATGAAAAGTTAGCCTTTTTGGATATAATGCTAAGTGGCACTCACCGAGGATCCTCTAAGCTACTGCAAGCCACTCAACTACGCACTGATGATGTCATCTCAATTGTAGACGAAACGTATGCAACAAAATTACCAAGCTCAGCGAACAGTTCAAGCGCCATGTAAACAACCTGAGCTACCATTCTTCCATTCTATACTGCTAAGAAGATGAGAGGATGGCTCTTTAAAGAGTTGTGTCTATCGAAAGTATACTTAGATTGGCCAATATACAGATTTTCGCATTGAAGGTCGTTGCCTGTATTAGCGCGCCAACACAATTTGTACTCCCGAAACCACAGAAAGTGAAAAGAATCGCATCTTTAGGACGCTACAAGACAATGGTGACCTCGCTCCTTTCATTCGGATGAACTCTATGATATGTGACCGAGGAGAAACAAACGTGACCGTGTCGAAAAAGGATGTTTATTTTGCTGCTCCTTTTGAAGTAGATGTCGCCCTTGAAGTGTCAAACAGGAGAGTCCTACATGCAGTAGTCAAGTCGTTTGCTGTTACCTACCTGCATGTGGTTGCAGAAACGGCCCAATATCCTACAGTTCGACTCTCAGTAATGTCAGCATCTTTTATCCTATATCAATTTGCTTGAACCAGTGGTATAAGATACATCAGACACATAACAAGACGCTCGGTTAAACGGACGGCAGTACATTGCCCAGCAGCATTATGGAGGCACACAGTTAGAAATGTCAACAGCTCTATTTTGGTACATGTAGCTCAAAGTGGGCATCAAGTTGTGACCACGGAGGCTTTTGGTTGTCTACGCCGCATCAACATTACCCAAAAGGAATTAGAAAGCGCCTACTAATGACGGCTGAAGCCATTGCGATCCGGTTAACGCAAGTTGAACTGTGCAACCAGACGACGCTAGTGCAAACGCTTTAGTTGCTGTGGCCCTGATTTCACCGTGAGCGCCGCTTGATCTTAGGTGGTGAACCCGCGATCCTTACAGATGGCAGAACCGTGAGCTTGTGTGAATGCGCGTTACTATCACCACCGATTGGAGAGTCGGATTAACTAATAAGTCAGCCTGTTTAGACTGAAGAAATCCTAGCCCAGCTGTCTTAGCCCAATGGAATTTTAATCATGTTATATATATATATATATATATATATATATATATATATATATGTATATATAATATAATATAACAGCTTACCATTGGCACGAAGCTGATGGTCTACAAATCCACGATGCTGTCCGTTCTTCTATACGGCAGTGAAACCTGGACGATGTACCGGCGGGATGTGCGATATCTCGAGTGGTTCCATCAACAGTGTTTGCGACGGATTGTGCGCATTGGTTGGTGCGACAGAGTTGCGGATACGGAAGTGCTAAGTCGAAGTGGAATGTGTGCAGTGGACTGCATTCTACTGTTGAGACACCTGAGGTGGATCGGTCATGTGAGCCGTATGGATTCGACGAGGATACCGAAACCACTCTTATATGGTCAGCTGAGTATTGGGAAGTGGCATGTGGGGAAACCGAAGCTTCGTTACCAGGACATGATCAAAGTGAGCCTTGCACGTTCTAATCTTGATTACAGGTCATGGGAATCGATAGCAATTGATCGGCGTGCATGGCGCGATCTGATCACGAAGGCAGTTGTCGAAGTGATGGAGAAAGACCTCATGCATGTAGAGAAGAAGCGGCAAGTGCGGAAGCGGCAACCACCGATGGGTTGTACTCCATCGACATCGAGCGCATGGTGCTGTAGCACATGCGGTCGCGAGTGCCTGAGTCAGGCAGGCCTAGTGAGCCATGAGCGAGGCTACTCGGGATCACCACCGAAGCGACGACGGGTCCTGCAGAGAACGTAGGCAGAACCGGCGCGGCGTTTGTAGGTACGATGCATTCGATTTACTAACCACGTGTTTGCATGATGGGTCTCATTATTTCAGGTGGTGGGTTTGCAATTTTTCCTAATGCTTATCTTTCCCATATTAATGCCTACCTATACTGTCTTCTATAAGCTTGCAAACGTCGCTGAAGCTACTTGTAGTTAATTTCGATAACATTTTCGTGTTTGTGGCATTTCCGTAAAATATACTTTCTGACCTCGTGAACTTAGCTCGGATTCTTTTGTAAACAATTTATTTTATATGCTCATTAATTTAAGACTTAGGTCATCGTTTTCTTATGCATTATTTGATTTACTTCAGTTGTTATCTTTCTCTCAAGTAATTGGCTGTTGCTTGATATCCCCTGTGTGGCTGCGCTTGATGTGCATGTTGACAAGGTCTATTACCTCGTCCACACTGGCTCTAGGAGACAGTTGGTCGTTGCTGGAGTGGACGGGGTGCACGGTCCTTGTGGCCGTGTTAGGCTCGAAGAGTGGTTCCATGCGCTAAGTGTGGAGCGGACTACGGTTGAGCCATCGCCTTGTAGACGCTTGATTCCCCAAATACAGCGTGCTTGTGTTCGCCTGTGGAGGAGTGTGGGCCGGCTCCGTTGATGAAACGTGACTCCATCCACATGCCTCCCGGTCTTATTCCTTCAGGTTTACACTGGATATGGGGTGTGTGGTTGGAGCTGTGGGCGGTGTAGCGCAAGCCACCCATGGTCTCTCTGTAGTTGCAGGCCTCCTGTGGATGGCCACAGTGATAGGCAAATCCGAAACTGGATGCCGTCAACAATATATATATATATATATATATATATATATATATATATATATATATATATATATATATATATATATATATATATTAGCCGTATGAGGATAATCGAAATGTCTTCGCTGACTTGTATTCTTACACCCCATGGTAATGTTGCACAAGTCTTTTATATAGTTATCCTGAGCTGACCTTATAACTTCTTTCTTTTGAGTCTAATAATTAAAAATACGGGAAATTATTATCCCATATTTTTAGTTATTAGACTCAAAATCGACGTTAGCCAAAGCAACTGGATACACTGTACTTCGGTGCATTGGGCATAGCGGATGAAGAAAACTGAGAACAAGGGAGGCGTCGTGAGTCAGCTAGGGAACAAACACATCAAGATGGCACTTCGTGACCTGAGGAGGAGAAAAGGATTTCATTCGTAGAACTCTTCAGAGCAACGGTTAACCTGCTGCGTTTGTCAAGAAGCACTCCGTAGTCAGTGACGTCCCTGAATCTGTGCTAACAGCCAGAAAGAAAGACGTCTCTCTGCGTGCCCTTCAAAGGGATATCCCCTTACTAGAAGGCCGTCTTCTGCGCTGAACAAGGCGTATCCGGCAGTTCGAGTTCACATCCTTGCTGAAATATCACAGAAATAGAGTACCGGTTGTGTCCAAACCCTTTTACTATATCAGTTCGCCTGAACCTTTGGTGCTAGGTACATCGGACACCACCCAACTTCCAGCAAAACGCATAGCAGAGCACTGCTTTGCTTCCTTACAGCATGAAATTCAGAGAAGTGTCCATAGTTCAATCTGTGAGCACATGATTAAAAGTGGACATCAATGCCGGGTTAAAGACTCACTCAAGGTTCTCCTAGTGACCCCGAAACGATACCCAAAGACGCAAAAAGCGCTTCTTGACTGTCGCCGAAACTCTTGGGATCAGATGTCTACAGCCGAAATTATGTGAGCAGAGAGCTATCGTGCAAGCGCTAATTCTGCCCTGGTGATAAGGCAGTCAGCTTGACTCAAGGCCACCGGTCCATCGTGACTTGGTTTGATCTGATATTGATTGGGGTACATAGTAAGATCTCAATTTTAGTTCCACCTATCATTTGACATCCTTTTATTTTTGTACAGCTAGTAATAGTTTTTTTGTAGATTTTGGTTATCTGCCTCATAATTGTGTGCGCCTGACGGGATGTATCGAAAAGAAATTTCTTCGCAATTGTTCTCTTGATGTCTGAATGGGGACAATTTATAAGTGGAGATTTGTCGAAAACCAGTCAATCGTAATAATGAATCCCACTTTATTGGATTCATTATTGAGATTGTTCAATGCTCCATTGAAGTGCGCACAAGCAGTGGAACCGGTGGTGCAGCACTAGCAGATTTCGCTGGAACTGAACAATTCGAAATACTTTGTTTGCCTTACCAAGACGGTTACGATAATGAGATGGCAGAAGTCCGCGTGACCTAGATATAAATATTAAAATCTAGTGCTAAGGGTACGGTGGTCACCGATCAAATGATAGTGATTGATATGAGATAAAAGCAACAAATTAGTAAGAGCATCCACACTTAGAGAACAGCGAGAGCGCCACATGGTAATTGAAGTTCGGCCAAACCGAAAGTACCATTACATATCCGAAAAACAGGTTTAAAGTTATGGTGCCTAGACAAAAATAGGAAGCTAGATAACAAAGTTACGCAAAATTTTGTAATGTCTCATCATTAAAATGACAGGCTATCGGAGGAGTGAAACAGACAGGAATGAGGACATGCTTAAAGCCATTATAGTTTACTTGCTCGTAAGAATCGAGTAAAATAAAACGGTGTAAGGAAACAAGTCAGGTAAAACTTCTATGGCCATCATAATTGTAAAAGTCCAGAAAGTGGGAAGATGCAACATACCATCAAAAAGTTCCCAATAATGTGCTCCGCAACGGCCGCAATATAGATGGAAACAGTGAAGCTGAAGCGTTCGTTGAATTCCTGTGCGAGTAAAAAGAGAATGTAACGTATGAGTCGGTCTTACGTTAAATTGTAGCACATGGTACAGAACCTACTATGGAAGCAGTGTAAGAAAACGAAAGACGTGAAATGGTGCTCGCACGATGGTCTGAAACACACTTCCGATATTCCGAAAGGTTCCACCTGTACGCAGGATGCACATTCGTGCATCTAAGCAGTCAGGTGTCGCAATATCGTGCTGTACAGTGCTACAAGTAGTTCTCAAACCCAACGAGATTAAGCGACCAGGTATGAAGTGCCAATAGGCTACTCTGAACTAACCGGAGCAAACCAGAAGTGACTGTCAGTGGTAAGCCATATGGATGTGCCGCATCTACAGAAATCGATACCGTCTCAGTGCTTGAATCCAGTCAGTGAGTTGCCTGCGGACAAAATAGCGTGATGACGGAAAATATTTTGCGGCCGGTATCATACGAAAACGGTAAAGAGTAGTGATTCTGATAGCAGTAGATCAAAAAAGTCCGAGACATTCTAAACGAGGCACAGAATTAAGAAAGCGATATCAGTCCGCCAATCTCCGATGGCAAGTAAACAGAGTCTAATCGGCCAGCTATATTGGGGGTACTCTTGTGATGAATTAAGGTGAACGAGGAAAAGTACAAACTACATAGTATAACAACAGTGATACAGTGAGAAGTACATCAGGAGAGAAAGTCATTGCACGAGTGAACAAAAACTCAGGATCCTTTTGACTTGTCTGAATACGTACAGGTATATGGAAGGGTGAGCAACACATGGCAAGTCGCTAAGGAGTGATGTACGAGTAAAATAAAGGAGCCGAAACACAGAGGTGCACTAGGTACCCAAAATGATTTGCAATATAGTCGGCGTATGATGTAAGTCAGAGAACCGGACTTTAAAGTTTGTGAGTGTGTAATTGATCAGTAGTTTTGGTTGTTTACTTCCGACGATAGGGAGACTGCGAGCGGCACCGGTGTTCGTGAGGATAGCGGAGCGGGTGTTAAACACGTCGTAGACAAAGCAAGAAATAGCACAGTCCTAAATTCGGTCCGTCAGAATCGTTGTGCATTAGAGCACCACAACATAGGTTGATGCTTGAGATAACAAAGGAAATGTCTCGAAACCGATCAAGGAAGTCGTGATTAAGAGCGCAGACAAGCGGGATCGAAAAGGTAGGCTAAGGTTCTGAGGGTGACGCAAATTCCAGGGGTAATGATGAAAGAATAATAAAAGAGACAAATAACCATCAAAGGATACTGGTGCGAGATAAAGTGATGTACATTGCTCTGGATACAAACAAAGACTGGCTCAAACTAAATGTACGGTAGACTGAAGATTCAAAAGACTAGAGTGCAACTAGAGCTAGTGTTATTTCAGTGTGAATTCACAGCGTGGCAGAGTGGGTTGCAATAGTCAGAGATGATAGCCGAATAAACAGCGAATGGTGGTCGATTTAAAAAGTACATGGATCAGGCTAAAGCTGAAGAAACTTAACTGTTGTCATCCCAGCTAACTGGAGTGAATCGATTATAGTGGCAACGTACAAAAAGGTCAGTCGCACCGAATGTGCTAACCACAGGGGTATTAACCTAACGCCAGTTGTGACAAAATTACTGGCCTCAATTTCCATTCGTCGCCTCACAGTGGAACGGGAATCGCGGATTACGGAAGAGCACGCAAGTTTCCGCCCAGAACGTGGCTATATAGACCACATATTCACTCTGCGTCAGCTACCAGTGAAGCGATACGCAAACCGCAGACCGACCATAGCTGTATTCCTCGAGTTCGCACTCTTGTACGTTCGATTCAGTAGATCGATGCACCATGTTCGAAATAATTGCGCGTAAAGGTGTTCCCGCGAAATAGGTGAACATCTTACGTACTCTATACTTGGACACTACAGACAGCATCAGCGTCTATGGTGACTTATCGGATAGTCTTCCGACAACAAGTGGCGTTCGTCAGGGTTGTCTGATTTCCCCATTTTTGTTCAACCCCGTCGTGGACTCCATCATGGAGTGTTCCCTTGCAGAATCTTAGGATGTAAGCGCTGTGGTGTTGCCCGGTGAAAGGCTAATTGGACTCGATTATGAGGACGGCATTGTTTTGCTGTTTAACGATGTCGGGGCGGTCAAATCAAGCCAGAATAACCTTTACAGAGTGTTCCCATCATTTGGTATGAGCTTCGCAACTTCAAAATGTAAAGTTTTGCTGCAGGACCACCAGCAACTTGATGACCCCCTTCACTTTGATGGAGAGGAACTCAATGTGCTTTATCAATTCACCCATCTTGGCAGCTGCATTAACAACGATGGGCGCATACCCACCGAAGTAAATTTACGCAATGCAATTTAAGACTGCCTTTTGAATCCACGACATCTGTGATGTCAGAAATGGGTTTCCCTCGATCTGAAAGGTCGTGCATACAAGACCATAGCAAGGGCCGTCCTGCTCTATGAGAGTGAGACTGGGATCCCTCGCTCAAAAGACCTGCCGCGCCTTCAAGTCTTTGAGCCCCACTGTCTGCGGAGCATCGCTAGCGTCGGATGGTTCCAGCATGTCCGCAACGATGATGTAGATAAGCATAAGTAGGTAAGCATAACCAACCTACTTGCTTAAAACAACAAACGGCACTGGATAAGCTGCGTTGGCTTTGGTCCGTACTACGTATGCATAGTCACCGCTTACTTAGGAGGGCCTTGTTTAATCTGCTAGATATAAGGTGGCGCAAGTCTCGAGATGGACTAAAGTTGATTTGACAGCACGAAATGAAGTCAATGACGACCTTCCAGTTTGGAGTTCACGTGACCCACGTTGTGTTTGGCTTGAGACGTTACAGGACATGGCTCGCAGCCGACACCAGTGGCGCGCCTGCTACCGTCTCCTAGTCGGAGTGCCTGTTTAAGGTGTGTGTGTGTGTGTGTGTGTGGTGCTGTTATCTGCTGGGTAATAGCTGATTATGACGTGCGGCAGTGAAAGCCGCAAGGAAGTTGTCTCGCTGATGCCGTCTTATGCTTGTACGATAGCCAGCTGTTTGTGATAGTATATTGTTGACAAGATGCAGGAGTTTTGACCCTGAGTGTTTGTTTAGGACATTACGGTTTTACGCTAGGTCCTCCTCTCTCTATTATTATTCTACGCTCCGCAGGTCACCATGATTGTACGACACCAAAGCATCAGTTCAAATGGCCGATGTAGTACTGTTGATGACGATGATGAACTGTTGCTCTTCCGAGCGCTTCATCAAAAATGTTTTTGTGACGGAATCAAACAATAATATTGCTGCGCTGATCTATGCAAAATGCCTCAAACACATAGCTTTATTGACCAAGCATAGAGACGAGCGTATGTAACGCCAACAGAGTTTAATTGATGCACTGCTGCGAAATATGGGCCGAGAGACGTGCATTAACCACTAACTTACAAGTGACACAACGGCGGTCGGGAGAAACGTAGCAGCACTCAGTCTGTTGCAAAATACGATCGACAATATGCGTCAGAAACATGAAGTTAAACATGAAGATAACAATCACCGGAAGCGCAGTATTAATCAGGAGGGACCATTTTCGTGACGGCCGGTGCAACAGTTCCAAGACAACTAGAAATAAACATAATCTTAGTCGTTTTCATACACCAAGAAGCAAACGCCGTCATGCTATCGCCAACTGTGGATGGGAAAGCGTTAACATCAGATTTTCTAGGAAAATACAGAGGACGCAATCAGCAATGGCTAGAAAAGACAGGAATGAATGCAGTATGTTGGCTAGCATACAGCCATAATATGTTCAGGAAATTCCAGCGTCATCTAGTACCTAACTGTAGCTGACCAGTGATGGATCAAGACATATCACTTAACAAAGTAGTGTGGTCCCACCTTTGACTATCATCCGGTTCAGTAGACGTGCCACAGTTCTGGTTATGTAGCAATCCATCGCCGCTTTTCACTGAACATTTCCAAGAAGCGTAGCAAACGATTCCTACAACTTGCAGTCAAGAAAGTGCTCCGGTCCACGACTATGAAGACTTAGTAAGACGCCTAGCGTGCTAAACCTTCCTCGTCGAACTTCGGTGGAACAAAGTTTCTGTTGTATTGCATGATACAAAAACTGATAGTTTCCGCACCCTCGGTTACTCGTGAGTCGTAAGATGGATATGAGGAGAATCAGTGAACCTGCTGGAAGCTAGAAGAACTCTGAGTGCAATGAGCGTAATGCCGCCAGATAAGCTGTTACACTTGAACTAAAGTGGAGCCCACAAGAAGTCAACAAAAATGCTGGGCTCAGATGGTGCGGATCATGGAAAAGGCAGCAGCAGTGGGAAAGTTCAGTTGACCCTTCCAACCGACTCGTGCCATTGCTCCCAGGTACTCATGCGTGGGTGAAGTGACACACCAGGCTACAGATTCACAATGAAGAACAATGTCTGGTTCGTCTGACCTCAGTTGGTATCCTTGATCTGATTTGTGCTCAGGTGACGCAAGTTGGGCCAAAGCCGGTTGGTTTAGTCAGTATATGTAGCTGAAACTCAAAACACACAATGCCTGTCTCTGTGACTTTGGTACATTGTGCCCTCGTTACTTAGGGTTGGTGGTTAGACCCTTCGCAAACAAGTGACCCACCAGTCCGAGCAGGTGTGAAGGGGAAAATGCACCAGCTGATTGTGACTAGCAGGTCATAACGACACAATTAGTAACTTTCGTCTGTATGGGTCACCTACAGGGGTATAGGCGTTACACTCGTAGTGATTATGTTAATGACTTCCATTCCGGTCGGCCACCTTACCGCAGCACGGAAAACCCGGAAGTAAGAAGAACGAACATGCCTCCGCCCGTGATTGGGCTGCACAGGCCATGGTTTCACTACATCAGAATAGCGTTGCATGTGCCATGGGTCGACTATAGCCATTTTCTCCGATTTCACGCACGTGTGATCGTTCCGTCCTGTTTGACACACATAATAAAAAAGGGCTCCAGTCAAGTATGTGAGCCCTCTGCGTGACAT